AGATCCTAGCAAATAATGTACCTGATACATGTGTACACTGAAAGATACAGTCGACGAACTTACCATAGTGACTGTACTTACCATTCTCCTTGATTTTGAACAAGTACTAGTACAGTCTTAAACATAGTCAGCGTTCAGCCTCGGGTAAAATGGTCCTTGAGACACTAAATTGGGTCGGGTGGTCTCAGTGACGTTGCTTGTAAAAGCTATGGTTTATCTGGCCGAGACTATTTGTAATATTGCTGTGTACAGCGTTGATTATACAAGCCGTGTTTTTCATGTCCAACCAACCTTCCAATGTAAAAGACTCAACCCCGCTGTATATCAAGGACACGCTCGATACGGCGAAGACCCTGGGTTCGATTCCCACATGTTTTTGTCCCCTACCGTGATACTGTTGAAATATTGCTAAACAGGGGGTAAAACCACACTCACTCATTCATTTACTCACTCACCCACATGCACGTAAATATTCTAATGTAAGTAGCATGTATGTATAAGCTAAGTGGTTCACAGGTGTCGTTGTTATGTCGTACACAAATTTATGCTCGTTTCCTTTTAAAATGTACTATTCTTCTGTGCATCTTCTTCAGTCCAATTAGAATGTTGTTCCTGATGTCGAATGGACTGTGCTATAAATTGATTTTTTTCACCTTCAGCCGATAACCATAGCCTTTCTTTGGTTATAATATGACAGTGGCATCGATTCTACTTTTTAATTACAATTCGGCTCAATCTTTTCAAAATCAACGTTGTTCTTAGAAACTTTCTTTTGTAAAGGCATTTCGAGAAACTGTTTGGATATCATCGTTGCTCTATTTCTTATCTTATCATCTCATTATAAGTACATGTGGTGGTGTCTTGAAACATCGATTTATTGTTCTTCTTCTGGGGAGCACTAACAAACTGAATATAAACCTTGTAACGTTAACCGTTCTATACTTATCCTGAAATAACCAAGATCAAGTGAAATTAAATAACGTCATCGGACTAAATCCTAAGAGATTTGGAGAGAGGAATTCAATGGGAATAGTGGCTCTCGCAAGTAGACCCGAAAGCATCTAAAGTGTTTCGTTAGCCGTTCAGTTATTGAAGTAAGGGAAGTGAAACCAAGAATTTCTAATAAAGGGTAACTTGAGTTCAGTTATGTTTACAAAGACAGTCTATAATGGCCTGGAATCAAACGTTCATTATAGATGGTATAGATCGATAACATTTATTTCGTTGGAGGCTAGTTTATTAATCGAATACTGGCTTTACGACTCACACATCCATGTCCTTGTAGAATGTATCTGGAGCTGAAGCTGGCGAGACAGAAGAGGCTGAGAAGTAATCTCTGGAGAGTAAACATCATAGAGCATTGTTTTTTTCGTTTGTTATGAATGACTGGAACCAAATGTAAAAAGATGGGACAAGAAAAGCAGCTGTGGGTGTGTTTTAACATGGCACTGATATTTCCCATCGCTGATTTATATCGTTATACTTCTTCGAACAGACGAATCACAAGCACTGTGCGGTTTATATTAATAATTATATATGATACCCATGTGATTGAAGTCAACATTTCTCTCTTGTAAAAGCCTTTAATAATTGATGTGTTATGAATGTCCTGCACATATTTGATTATATACATTTATGGTTTTGTGGAAATTCACGAGGCTCATTGCTTCGAGGCCAGGACTGATTCGCAATATCGTCAAATCATTAATTCGCTAGAAGGTGAACATTTTTCACCGGTAGGGCAGGACATGCTGACCTTTTCCGCGAACACCTGGTGTCATCACTGACTTTCAGTAGTCCATTTAAATAACTGTCACCGCTAGTTGCATTGACAATGCATATTTATATTTATAGATCTAAGCATGTATCCAAATTATACATCGTATAGAAAATGTCGTATAGTTCATGTGTTGCGAGCTCTGTGCTACCCAGAATTAAGGAGACCATGTACAGGTCCTCAATACCTCATATGCGCAGCTAGTCAGTTACAACGTGGGCTACTTACAAGGCTTCTGCTTGGGTATTTACAGATGCATTAAATATGAATGGTTCAGCCCATGTCATTAGTCCAGCTTTTACTGTGTCTTCGTCTAAGTGCATTCCCACTAGCTTCGTATGACTGCACTTCTTGAAGAACTAATGAGCAATGTGCCACTAATGCTCCATCACCCTGGCATGTGTCTGTATATGGGGCCACAATTTCATACGTTTCATTGGTAAGAGATTAGGTCGATTCAATCGCAATCATCCAAATCGATTTTTACAAATTGTTTGAAAGTACACATTTTCAAATAAGGTCATTCTAACCTTGAATTGACACCTGTAAAAATAGAAGTAAGCAGAGCCTACATTCAAGATCAGTTGCAGAATTGTTTCATGAAGTACGGCTCTGTTTATGATCATGTCACCAACTAGTGTCCTGTGTCCCTACTGTAGTCATGTCATGGGGCCCGGTTGTGTCGATGAGTTAACTGACGCTCTGATATGTCACTTGTACTGTGAAGGAATTAGGATACCAACAGTTCCTAGTACGTGTAAATACCGAAACTACATTTTAATGATCGCCTGAGACTGTTACTTTTCCTTATACACATGAGGAATAAGATCACTGTTTGGCTCAAGCTGTAATACATTAAGAACCCAATGACATATTCCCTATACAATTGGCCCAGGAGGAACCATTTGAGTTAAATCATGTGTGAAAATGAACACTGTATTTTGAAAATTGTACTTGTTTAAAAAAGGTTAACTATGTGTCATTTTCTTCTGTTTTGAGAGATGTATTCATATACTTGTTGCTTATATGCATGGAATAATAATCATAGCATACTTGTCTATAAGCTACAATGGTAGACGTGATAGAACGGGGATTGTCAGATCCATTCTTATTACTGACATCACTCATTTTTACAAAATACATATTACTGCCAGTGAAGACACCATTTTGTGAAGGAGATCACCGGTAGGGATGTCATGCGTGAACATTGCTGTTCATATATTTGGTATTTGTAATTGATGTTAAGGTGAATAAGTACACAGACATTCATTATATGCTGTAGTTTACAGTGTCAATAGTGATGTATAATTGAATATCATTAAAATATAAGTTCATTGAATACATTGTACCGTGTGCTATCTATTACCGTAAGCTACATGTACCTTATGACATGCCACACTTATTATGAAACGTTTGACTGTCCACTGTTTGTTCGAAAAACTGTTGACATCAGACACAGACAACCATCTTGTGTGAATCCTTCACTTTATATTTATTTTGTATACATCTTTTCATGTGCGCGTTTATGGAGAATTGTGTAGTATTCATGCTGCAATTTCATGTAAACAGGATTTATAATTAAAAAAACAAACATTTAATTAATTTTTAAACAAAACTAAATATATTACAAGTATATATAACAAGTTTTAATAATATGTTTACTGTAAAAATAAATATTTATTGTTTGTTTCATAACTGTTTATGATCGTTTGATTGACAGTTCATAGGTGCCTGTCGATGCAACAGAATCGTGTTAATATTAATATAAAAATGCTTATATTATTGGTTTGTATTAAGGCATAAACTTACTTAATCAACCACACATTTACAATAACATACATACGATTTGAAAAATATATTTGCCTGTTACCATTTATTTTATGAGTGTCTGATTGATATATAATTGAGGTGAACAAGGCGTGTGTCTTGTCAAGTTAAAATATACCTATTTGGCTTTAAAACTCGCCAAGACATTTTCACATCGTCAAAATGTAATTGTACGTTATATCGAAATGGCGGAAGAAATGTTACCGTACTAAATCAATATGTGACTCTCATTAATACCACTGAATCTAGACATTGTTGATTGATATATAAAACGTCAGGGATGTAAAACAGAACATGTCAAACACAACGTGAACAAACGTGAACGTGAACGTTGTGAACTCAAAGCCAAATTACTGTATAAACAGGGACATCTATACAGTTATTACTGTACTTTTGGTGTACGATTTCTTCATTTCTTCATTTGTGACAGAAGTATGTGGTTTCAATATCAAGATATATGTCAAAACTTTTATGGTTACGCGAGAAGACAAAACATTGTCGTGATCCTAACAAAAAATTACAGACGCCTGCAGTTATAAAAGAGTGTTCCTACAGAGATGCCACGTTTTTCATTATGTATTTACATTTTTCAACTTTTCTTGGGGTTTTTCAGCAAAATATTTTTTTTAAAACTGTCGGGTTTTTAAACCAATCTTATATAAACAATTACTGTTACGGGTTGACATCAATTAGTGGATATTGTTATGTGGCAGGTGTCTCCACGGATAAACAATATATGGGGCTGGCAAGATCAATTAGTGGATATTTGTTATGTAGCAGGTGTCTCCATGGATAAACACTACAAGGGGTTGGCATTATCAATAAGTGGATATTTGTCATGTGGCACGTGTCTCCAGGAATAAACACTAGATGGGGTTGACATTATCAATTAGTGGATATTTGTTATGTAGCAGGTGTCTCCACGGATAAACACTAGATGGGGTTGACATTATCAATTAGTGGATATTTGTCATGTGGCAGGTGTCTCCACGGATAAACACTAGATGGGGTTGACATTATCAACTAGGGGATATTTGTCATGTGGCAGGTGTCTCCACGGATAAACACTAGATGGGGTTGACATTATCAATTAGTGGATATTTGTCATGTGGCAGGTGTCTCCACGGATAAACACTAGATGGGGTTGACATTATCAACTAGGGGATATTTGTCATGTGGCAGGTGTCTCCACGGATAAACACTAGATGGGGTTGGCATTATCAATTATTGGATATTTGTTATGTAGCAGGTGTCTCTACGGATAAACACTAGATAGGGTTTGCATTATCAATTAGTGGAAGTAACAAGGGGATGCAACACAGCAAGGGGATGCGACACAACTAGGGGAACCAACACAACAAGGGGAAGCAACACAGCAAGGGGATGCAACACAACAATGGGAAGCAACACAACTAGGGGAACCAACACAACAAGGGGAAGCAACACAACAAGGCGAAAACAACACAATAAGGGGAAGCAACACAACAAGGGGAAGCAACACAACAAGGGGAAGCAACACAACAAAGGGGAAAACAACACAACAAGGGGGAAGCAACACAACAAGGGGAAAACAACACAACTAGGGAAAAGCAACACAACAAGGGGAAAGCAACACAACATGGGGAAAGCAACACAACATGGGGATGCAACACAACAATGGGAAGCAACACAACAAGGGGAATCAACAGAACAAGCGGCAAGCAAAAGAACAAGCGGGAAGCAACACAATAAGGGGAAGCAACACAACAAGCGGGAAACAACAGAACAAGCGGTAAGCAACAGAACAAGGGAAAGCAACACAACAAAGGGGAAGCAACACAACAAGGGGGAGCAACACAACAAGGGGAAGCAAAAAAACAAGGGGAAGCAACACAACCAGGGGGATGCAACACAACAAGGGGAAAACAACACAACAAGGGGAAAGCAACACAAAAAGGGGGAGCAACACAACAAGGGGAAGCAACACAACATGGGGAAGGAACACAACAATTGGGAAGCAACACAACAAGGGGAAGCAACACAACATGGGGATGCAACTCAACAAGGGGAAGCAACACAAGGGGAAGCAACACAACAAGGGGGAAGCAACACAACAAGGGGAAGCAACACAACATGGGGATGCAACTCAACAAGGGGAAGCAACACAACAAGGGGGAAGCAACACAACAAGGGGAAGCAACACAACAAGGGGATGCAACACAACAAGGGGAAGCAACACAACAAGGGGGAAGCAACACAACAAGGGGGAAGCAACACAACAAGGGGGAAGCAACGGAACAAGCGGGAAGCAACACAACAAGGGGAAGCAACACAACATGGGGAAGCAACACAACATCGGGATGCAACTCAACAAGGGGAAGCAACACAACAAGGGGAAGCAACACAACAAGGGGAAGCAACACAACATGGGGATGCAACACAACAAGGGGAAGCAACACAACAAGGGGGATGCAACACAACAAGGGGATGCAACACAACAAGGGTGAAGCAACACAACAAGGGGGAAGCAACACAACAAGGGGAAGCAACACAACAAGGGGGAAGCAACACAACAAGGGGGAAGCAACACAACATGGGGATGCAACACAACAAGGGGAAGCAACACAACAAGGGGGATGCAACACAACAAGGGTTAGCAACACAACAAGGGGGAAGCAACAGAACATGGGGAAACAACACAACAAGGGGAAGCAACACAACATGGGGAAGCAACACAACAAGGGGGAAGCAACACAACAAGGGGGAAGCAACACAACAAGGGGAAGAAACACAACAAGGGGAAGCAACACAACAAGGGGGAAGCAACACAACAAGGGGGAAGCAACACAACAAGGGGAAGCAACACAACAAGGGGAAGCAACAGAACAAGGGGATGCAACACAACAATTGGGAAGCAACACAACTAGGGGAAGCAACACAACAAGGGGAAAGCAACAGAACATGGGGATGCAACACAACAAGGGGAAGCAACACAACAAGGGGGAAGCAACACAACAAGGGGAAGCAACACAACAAGGGGAAGCAACACAACAAGGGGGAAGCAACACAACAAGGGGGAAGCAACACAACATGGGGAAGCAACACAACAAGGGGAAGCAACACAACAAGGGGAAGCAACACAACAAGGGGAAGCAACACAACAAGGGGAAGCAACAGAACAAGGGGATGCAACACAACAATTGGGAAGCAACACAACTAGGGGAAGCAACACAACAAGGGGAAAGCAAGAGAACATGGGGATGCAACACAACAAGGGGAAAACAACAGAATATTGGGGAAGAAAGACGAAAGAAGGAAACAAGACAAGAAGGGGGAAACAACACAACAAGGGGAAAACAAGACAAGAAGGGGAAAACAACACAAGAAGGGGAAAACAACAGAACATGGGGGAAGAAAGACGAAAGAAGGAAACAAGACAAGAAGGGGGAAACAACAAAACGGAGGGGAGGATAGCTAGACAACAAGGGGAATAGCAGACAATCGAGGGACACAAGACAACAAGGGGAAAAAAAAGGGGGTGGGGTGGGGGAAGACAACAAGGTAAAGCAACAAAAGGGAAAAACAAAACAACAAGGGAAAACAACACAAGGAGGAAACCGCACACGGTGGAAAGAACACAACAAGGCCGTGAATTTAGCGTTGTATAACGCCCGTACCACAACTTGTATATGTATTGTCTAGCAGTAGGGGATGGACTGAAAGCTTCAGATTAGACTGTACATTAGTAACCATGAAGAGTGCACTGTTGCAATGGCACGTGATTGCCCTTTCATTTCGCTAAACACTGGGTCAATCTGACATCAACATACGCGATGAGCTACATTTAACAGGTGTAGGATAAAAATGGAAAACTCATCAACCAGATCATTTCATTTTATCTAACATGCTTGCGGTAAATTAGGTTAACATTAATGTCTCTTTCCATCATGTTTTGAAATATGAAAACTTCCCTGATAACCCAAAACCGGGGTGCGCTATCATGGAGCTCGTAACGTGTAGGTCATCAGATAGCATATACTAACATGGAATACTCGACTTCTTGTCTGTTCCTCCACCATCAACTCCTGCCCAAAACGTTATATGTACCCACAACAAACTGTAAACACAGCTGTAAACCATGTCATTATCGGAAGCGTGTATGTACACACAACTGTAAACCATGTCATTATCGGAAGCGTGTATGTACACACAACTGTAAACCATGTCATTATCGGAAGCGTGTATGTACACACAACTGTAAACCATGTCATTATCGGAAGCGTGTATGTACACACAACTGTAAACCATGTCATTATCGGAAGCGTGTATGTACACACAACCGTAAACCATGTCATTATCGGAAGCGTGTATGTACACACAACTGTAAACCATGTCATTATCGGAAGCGTGTATGTACACACAACTGTAAACCATGTCATTATCGGAAGCGTGTATGTACACACAACTGTAAACCATGTCATTATCGGAAGCGTGTATGTACACACAACTGTAAACCATGTCATTATCGGAAGCGTGTATGTACACACAACTGTAAACCATGTCATTATCGGAAGCGTGTATGTACACACAACTGTAAACCATGTCATTATCGGAAGCGTGTATGTACACACAACTGTAAACCATGTCATTATCGGAAGCGTGTATGTACACACAACTGTAAACCATGTCATTATCGGAAGCGTGTATGTACACACAACTGTAAACCATGTCATTATCGGAAGCGTGTATGTACACACAACTGTAAACCATGTCATTATCTGGAGCGGGTATGTACACACAACTGTAAACCATGTCATTATCGGGGTCGTGTATGTCTACATTATCGGGAGCGTTTATGTGTACATTATCGGGAGCGTGTATGTGTACATTATCGGGAGCGTGTATGTGTACATTATCGGGGGCGTGCATGTGTACATAATCGGGGGCGTGTATGTGTACATTATCGGGAGCGTGTATGTGTACATTATCGGGGTCGTGTATGTGTACATTATCGGGAGCGTGTATGTGTACATTATCGGGAGCGTGTATGTGTACATTATCGGGAGCGTGTATGTGTACATTATCGGGGGCGTGTGTGTGTCCTCGCCCTCAACTGACAAGGCTGCCTTGGATGTTAGTGATTCCCCTACAGTGTGGATACCATATACTTCGCGTCATTAAATCACCTGTATTCCTCCTCCAAATCCTTATGATGTAGTAGGAATCGTACAATGGACGTTGCTTTTGAAAGTATGCCCAGTACTCCGGCAGCATGGCAGACCAAGGCCAGCGGGAGGATCTCAGTTCATCGTACCTTAGTGTGTGCAAGTGTTCGTCAGCTGACAGAGTTATGCCTTCACCTGCGCATAGCATGTCACTATTGAGTTTATAGTCTGTGTTGCGATACATTTCAATGGGTAATGGAAGAGCACAGCTGTTTCTGTGTACTTCAAAGTGGCTTACCAGTACCACGAACATTGCATAATGCAAAATAAACGAAATCACATACAAACTGTATACAGAATACGCGCGAGCGTATCCACCGAACATACATCTCGGTAGGGCAGTACACCAGTAAGGTGCAATGTATCGGTCTCTCCGGGACCTCACACGAGCATCTATATTTCCCTCGTGAGCTATATATCACGTGTGTCTATAACTGCTGAAGCATTCCACCTAAGAAAAGAAATGTCGCCAATAAAAAGTCGCTAAAAGATAATCAGTATTTTTTTTATTCTATTAATAGATTTTAGTTGAGCGAGTATGTGCTGCAATATCATAGGTTCAGTGGGATCTGAAGCCCTTGAAATTAACGGCTTCATTACGTATATTTGACTCTGTTCAACAGAAACCTCTCCTTTGGTCTGTACTTGCCTGACCGGTCAGTCGGTGATGACGTCGGTGAAGTAATATCATGTAGAGTGGACAGTACCTGTAGAGTCTAACATCTCGGTAACATCTCGGTAACATCTTGGTAATAAATCGGTAACATTTCGGTAAATCCATTAACATATCGATAACATGTTGTGACAACTCTGAACTGTTTCCTGTCTGCCCTGGCAGTCCTGCACGTGACAGGTGGTGGCAGTGGTAGGTGGGGAAGACGGGGGGAGAAATAAGCTGTCCTTGGTGAACACGATCATGATAAATGACAGTGTTAGTAGGGCGACAGTGGCGGCGCATTTGTCGTATATCTCGCTAAACAGTTGGGATGTGAAAAGTAAAAACAGTGAGCGTGTGTGTTGTAAGCACATGTCTTCACTCGTCTTGCCATAGCCAGCGTTGTATCTATAATCTGCTACTGGTACTTATTACGTTCTGTTAGATACGATCTATTGGCGTTAGTGGCACTCTAGGGGTAACTGATGCATGAAGCGATGGACATCTGTGAGAACAGAGTATATTATTATCTAACATGTAACCCAATACAACCTCTGGCGGAATGTAAGGACTTTATATGGTCACTATCCGTGTTTTCGCCTTCTCACATGTATGACATGGGGTCGTTAAAAATTGTGGGAATGTTTCTTGAAGCGTGATATTTTGTTCTGACAAAATTCGACTAGAAGGTCAGTAATTGTAGAGGCGTGGTACACCAGACTGAGTAGACTGATACAATGTCATAGGTTCTTGGTTGGAACATTCCATGTGATTCTGGTCTGTAGGCGCTATTACTATTGTAGTTATTTCCTTACCGTAAAGTGAGAAGGAAATGCATGAGGGTAAGTGTTGTTTCTCGACATCCTCGCACCATTGAGGGAACGGGTTTGTTTAGGGCGTTGCCATTAGCTATCTTATTGCTGATACTGAACTACTTTCTGTAACACACAACTGAAACACCAGTCTGTTGACTGGCTATGTATTTAGTTCTGAATGATTGCGCATTTGTCAGAAAGATGTTGCCATGTACTTGCATCTGGGCCGTCAGAGGTTGCTTTTTGGAGAAAAGCGGCATGTGCTAACGTACTGTGGTGTGATACTGAAAGGTTGTGTGTGGTACTGTACTGTGGTGTGTGATACTGTACTGTGGTATGTGATACTGTACTGTGGTGTGTGATACTGTACTGTGGTGTGTGATACTGAAAGGTGGTGTGTGATACTGTACTATGGTGTGTGATACTGTACTGTGGTGTGTGATACTGTACTGTGGTGTGTGATACTGTACTATGGTGTGTGATACTGTAAGGTGGTGTGTGATACTGAAAGGTGGTGTGTGATACTGTACTGTGGTGTGTGATACTGTACTGTGGTGTGTAATACTGTAAGGTGGTGTGTGATACTGAAAGGTGGTGTGTGATACTGCACTGTGGTGTGTGATACTGTACTGTGGTGTGTGATACTGTACTGTGGTGTGTGATACTGTACTGTGGTGTATGACACTGTACTGTGGTGTGTGATACTGTACTGTGGTGTGTGATACTGAAAGGTGGTGTGTGATACTGTACTGTGGTGTGTGATACTGTACTGTGGTGTGTGATACTGTACTGTGGTGTGTGATACTGTACTGTGGTGTGTGATACTGAAAGGTGGTGTGTGATACTGTACTGTGGTGTGTGATACTGTACTGTGGTGTGTGATACTGTACTGTTGTGTGTAATACTGTACTTAGGTGTGTGATACTGTACTGTGGTGTGTGATACTGAAAGGTGGTGTGTGATACTGTACTGAGGTGTGTAATACTGTACTGTAGTGTATGACACTGTACTGTGGTGTGTGATACTGTACTGTGGTGTGTGATACTGTACTGTGGTGTGTGATACTGTACTGTGGTGTGTGATACTGTACTGTGGTGTGTGATACTGAAAGGTGGTGTGTGATACTGTACTGTGGTGTGTGATACTGTACTGTGGTGTGTGATACTGTACTGTTGTGTGTAATACTGTACTTAGGTGTGTGATACTGTACTGTGGTGTGTGATACTGAAAGGTGGTGTGTGATACTGTACTGAGGTGTGTAATACTGTACTGTAGTGTGTGATACTGTACTGTGGTGTGTGATACTGTAAGGTGGTGTGTGATACTGAAAGGTGGTGTGTGATACTGTACTGTGGTGTGTGATACTGTACTGTGGTGTGTGATACTGTAAGGTGGTGTGTGATACTGAAAGGTGGTGTGTGATACTGTACTGTGGTGTGTGATACTGTAAGGTGGTGTGTAATACTGTACTATGGTGTGTGATACTGAAAGGTGGTGTGTGATACTGTACTGTGGTGTGTGATAC